TCCTGACTCCCCACCCCCAACCCGGCCTGCCTCTGCCTTCCCTCTGAAGTTTAAAGGTCTGTTAGTTGCTTCTTTGTCTTAAATTCTTGAAATGTTAATTGATTTATATGTAGCCATCTCATTTGAAAAATGGAAATAAAAAGTTTCTCATTGTGAAAAGAAGGTATTTTTGGATTGTTCAGGTACTGTGACTATTGTTTAGATTCTGGTACTCTTTTTTGGGCATTGAGTATTATTGTTGTTTCAAGTCATCAAGCACATTTTGTTTTGTGATCTTGGTCCATGAATCTGGGATTTTACCTTTATCTGTAAATCGTTTCTCATATTTTCCTTCTAGGTTTGATCTGAAGTGACAGACAAACCATTTCCAGTATGGCTGGGTGGATGTGTCTGGGGTGATGCTCCATTTGGCAAATTCCCCTCCTGCCTGTCGATAGGCCTTAAATGGGATTTCACGACCATTTAAAACAAAAGAATGATTACTTGCTACCAAACTAGTACAGCAGTCAATGTTAAAGTGGTCTGTGTTAACCCATTGGCCTCCACTGACAGCTTTAGGACGGTGGAAATGAACACTGTGGTCTCCGTCATGTGTAGGGATTGTGTTTGTACAGATTGCTCCACAGAAGGGACACTGTTTCCAGCAGCCACACAGATGTTCAGAGAGCATGTTCTGGATTTCAGGAACCATGTCTTCTTCAGGCACACTGAAACGTGTCTTTTCTACTACAATCATTAAGTCATCCAAAGCTTCACTCATGGCTTTTTTGAGAAACTCAATATCATTAATCTCCTGGTGTTCAATGCTTACCAAGTCTTTTCGTGGAAAGTTCAGCTTACTCCCCAAGTGATCACAGAACAAATCCAACCACCCAGACACAGAGCTGCTTTTATCTTTGGCTATTGCTGTGGATTCACGAATAGCTGAGAGGATGGCATTCTTGATGTCATGTATACTTATTTCTAAAAAATTCTTTATTTTTTTATTTTGTTCAAAACAATATATTTTAATATGATTTTGAATGTAATTTCTAAAAAAGGTTTTGGGATCATGAATGTACTCCCAGTAATTATCAAAATTTTCTTTTTCTGCCAGGGACAGAAGAACGTGTTTCTCCAGGTTAGCCCTGTTTCCATTGAATGCTGGGCAGGTAGCTCGCATATCCCCAGCAATTTTAGGGACCATTTTTTTTGAAATCATGTTGTGGACAGCAGGAGTGAGTTTTTCCAAAAGAAATTCAACAAATGTTTTGATTGAGGTTGCTCCTTGACAAGAGATTTTAAAACCCATGAGGAAATCATCTTTCTTGCTTTCCAAATAATTTACAGGGTCATTTGCTCTTTTGAATGCCCTATGCATCTCTTTAAAATTCTCAGATGCTCTTTGGAATAAGCACAAAGATAAGTCAATTTTGTACTTACTTGTAAATGTGTATCTGTCTTTAGTGGGTTCAGATTTCACCTCCTCATCTATTATGCTCAGGATTTGATGGAAATAACTTGAGTTGTAATCACATTGTTGCCTCTGGAGGTTTTTAATATTTTCAGTGTATCTTGAAATAATGTGGTCAGTAGTCCTTGTTATGGACTCTTTATCATATACTTCTATGTTTCTTGTTAATAAGCCAAATCTTTTGCTCATTTTGACATGTTCTTCGTAATTGACTTCAAACTCCTTTTGAGACTTTTCCTTCACTTCATTCCCCATGTTTGTCTCCTTTTTAAAATGTTCCCAAAGGATGTTTTCAGAATCCACATCAATGTTAGGCTCTGGGACTGGAGGAACAGTTGAGGACACACCATAGACCCAGTTTTCCCAAAGGTCATTGAATCTGACATGAAGCTCATTCTCACTCAATACTTTGCCCTTTAGCGTTAAAGCCAATTCTCGGCTTTTTTCCAATAATTCCTTTTCATAACTTGACTTTTTGTTATCCAGTATTTCTTGATTCTTTTTATAACTGATATGTTCCTCAGCTTTTTTTTTGCTCTCAAGAATAAGTGCCTCTTTAAGGTTTATTAGTTTAGTTTCAAAACTTGCTTTCCACTGAATCATTATCTCACTATCTGAATCTTCTTTAAAATATTTTTCCAGTTCTTGCTGAATGGCTTTATATTTTTCTGTAACTGGAGCCTGAAGAGTGCTTGCTGTGAGTTCCTGAATTTTCCCATTCTTAATCTGGTTAATGAGCTGGTTCTGAAAGTCTAGCACGTGACTCCTCAGCTCCCAGGTCCAGAAATTATACATGGTTTCCAGTTTGCTCATGGCCATGACCTCTCGGGTGTTCCTGAAGCTGAAAATAAAGTTCTCATTCACTAGGGCTCTCCACAAATCTTGAATTCTCAATTTCACATCTGATATCTTCATGATGCTTCCTCTCGACTCCTGTTTGGCAGCCATCAGAATTCTCCTTTTCAGATCCTGGACATTGTGGCTGTAGCGAGGATTGGGAGGGGCCATTGGGGGATTGCCATCCCAGAGGTGAGCAAAGTAGTAGACATGAGTATTGGCATCAAATTTAATGATATCACCAAAGCGGGTTACATCTGAGCACTGTTCTTGCTCAGCTGCTGTTGTGGCCATTTCATCTAGTCTCTGCTCTAACCGCCTCCTTCCTTCCATAGTTTGGTCTTTAGCTGTGACTTCCCCCACATTCTGATGGACAAAAAGGCAACTTGGGGAGATTTTTACTTGTTTCATCCTCATAAAGGCTTGGACAACTATTTGTAGAATATCTTGCTATCAGCAGATCTGCAGCAATCTGGGGAAGGGAGAGATAAAGGGTATCTTTAGTGGGAGAAGCTTCTTCTAGAGCTTCATAGATCTGGCCAACTTCTCTGAGAAGTTGCTCAATTCCCAATGTACAGTCACTAATCTCTGTGGAAATAGCTTCTATCTCTTTTTGCCACTCTTGGACGTCAGTGCTCTTGGGTGCCTTTTGCTTTTCTTTTTGTATCCGTGACCACAAAATATTTTTCTTTTCATTCAGTTTTTCCAAGTGTCCTGCAGTCAGGTTGTCCAAAAGCACACTCAGCCATTGCAAAAAGTAGTGTGTGGTTTGAGTTTCAGAATAATTTTGGAGAATTTCAAGGACAGACTGCATTAATTCATTGAGAGGAAAGGCTCTGCTCAACTGATCCCTCCGTATATTTTGTTTTTCTGTCTCAATCTCACTCTTATGTTGTTCAATGCTCCGATTCCCTTTTTCTCTCAGATGATAGAGTTCTTTGTCCTTTTTACACCAAAGATGCCACAGGTGTCCCTGAAGGGGTAGTAAGTTTTCCTTCACTTGAGAAATACTCCGTTCTCTAAGTAGAGCTATTAGGACCTCTGCCTTTTCTTTGGTTTCCTTGCAGTTTCTCTGGTCTTCATCAATAAGGAATCCTTGTTTGCGAGCAATCGGGGTACAGTCCTCTAAGCTGAGAGCAGTGTCTGAGAGCTCCAGCAAGCGTCTGATTGTAGTAACAAGCTCCTCTGTTAATTCTGCTTCATTTCTGTTCCTGATTCCAATGACCACTTTTTGGCTAGAATTATTGTCCACGTTTTTCTCTTTGTTATCAACTAAACAGATCAAAGGTCTTGGTGACTGACTCAGATCACGAATAATTTTTTGGTTTTCTTTATTGTCTTCAGAAGTTGACATGAGGACAACAATGAGAGAAGAGACCTCCTGCAGGAAGGT